AGAAATATATATGTTATATGATTTCAGATTTACCTTTTATTATAATCCTTACAAAGAACAATTTCTTTTAATTGATGCTTTGAAAATAGTACAGGCTGAGTTAGCTCTTAGCCAAAATGCTTGGAATTGGAATATTTCAGGGTTGTTGTTTTCACCTTCAGACTTTGGAAGAGAGCAAGTCCACCTATTCTTAGATTTATTAAGTGTGGATTTTATCAAGCACAGATAAATGCATAGTTAATTTCGAAACACAGTTTCAAATTTACATGGCCACATCACACAGCTCAGTTTATGCAGAGAAGCACCTCTCATCTCCATTACCACCAGTTACGTTTAAAACTGTGTCATCCGCTGAGCCTTTCCCTGCCCTTAATGTGGAAAAGCATGCCTCCCAGAAAGCAAATGGTGCCCACAATACAAGGCACAAGTGAAGAGTATAATTGAAGTGATAAGGTGAAAATGGGAGATTTGTTGTCTCTAGCGGGAGTTGTGTGGCATTATGGGAGGAATGAATCAAGCGTCCACAATGAACTCCTCTTTGCCTGCAAGGATGTACATGTCTTCCTTGAAGACAGTCTTCGTGGAATAATTGGATATTCATAGTGAGTTATCATGGAGATAGAACCAAAGTCTAAACCAAGAAGTTAGTTCATTTTCCACATAAACCTATTGACATAGCCAGAGGGTGAGTTTATGCAATATTTTGAGCATGCCTGTCTTTTTTGCAGTGACTTGTTATACACGATCAGGTGCAGAATTTTCCACATGGTAGCATCATTTCAGCAGCCCCAAAAGTTTTGGGTTTGGGAGAACATTACACATTTTGCTTTTTTTTTTTGGTCGGTTGTGGAGCTTGAACTCTGGGCTTGAACGCTGTCCCTCAGCTTTTCAGCTCAAGGCGAGTGCTCTACTGTTTGAGCCACAGCGCCACTTCCAGTTTTCTAGTGGTTTATTGGAGATAGGAGTCTCATGGACTTTCCTTGCCCAAGCTGGCTTTGAACCACAATCCTCAGATCTCAGCCTCCTGAGTAACTAGGATTACAGGCATGAGCCACCGGTGCCCGGCACACATTTTGTATTTTTGTGTTAAGAATGCTCAATTTGTAGAAGATCTTTTTAACTAACTTTAGTTTCACTAACCTGAATCCTTTTAAAGCTTATTTCTACTGGACCTATGATCTAACTAGTAGGGACTGAGATCTGAGGGTTGTGATTTGAAATCAACCTGATTAGAAAAATCTGTGCGACTCTCCAATTAACGAGCACAAAACTGAACTACAGGGATAGTTCAAGAGGTGAAGTGTCAGCCATGAGCAAAAAAAGCCTGGTGAGACCATGTGCCCTGGTTGACACATGGAAAGAAAAAAGCTCATTTCTTCCCTGAGACCTGCTATCATGGGACCTAGCACCCTGGACCTTGAGCCTGAATACTGTAGTACACGCTTATACTTTTGCGTCCATGAGTTAACTTTTAGTTCTTAGAACAATCATCATTAATTAAATATTTCATAAAATCATTCAAAAAAAAGTTTTGCTAGTAAACCAGGTCTACTGGTCTCGAAACATTTGGAGTTGTTTTTGCCTTTGAGGGGGAGCTCAAGCTGGGATGAAAAGAATCATCACATTCTGTTCCACTGTAGTGAAACAAACTGTGGATTGGGTCTCACAAGTGAGGTTTGTGCAACAAAAACTGTAGACTTTCAACCAGCAAACTTCCAGGCAAAGTAAGGTTCTATGTTCTACACCACAAGTTTGCCCATTTATATTTTGAGTTAAATGTTTTAAGAATACATACTTTTACTTTTCATGAATCCCCACTTAAATCCAACATCTAGGTTTAGCTACCAGCTGCTTTGGAAATGAGAGCTCCCATTGTTTCTTGAATGTTCTTCCAATCCAGTAGTCTATATTTCAACTTGGTAATGAGAGCAAATGATAGTTATGCTGCATCTAGAAAAGTACACTGTGACTATCACTATATCATTGCTTTTTTTAAAAGCCTTCATTGTTCTGATAAGTGTATTTCCACTCTTGTTTTTTGTTGTTGTTGTTGTTTGTTTATTTGTTTGTGTGGTGTGGGTGTGTGCGCGCGCGCACGCACGCACTCATGCATGCACGCACATTGATACTGGGGCTTGAACTTGGGGCCTGGGTGCTGTATCTCATGGCTCCACTTCTGGCTTTTGTTGTTATCATTATTGTTTTGGTGGATTATAGGTATGAGCCAGTAAGCCACTCTTCGTTTCTAATAGTTGAGTTAGCCATTCCTGTGGAGGGTAGAAATCCTCAGCTAATTTTCCAGTTAAGGATATTGAAAATTGAAGTGTCAAGTAGAAAAAACAATGACTGACCATAATCACCATGAAGGAAAAAAATTTAGTATAACCCCTTTCTGACACTCCTTTAAATAACTAATTTTAGCTCAACTTTAGTTCATGATCATGCCCTGGCTTCACAGAGTCCTCATAAAGCATGTATACCACAAGCCCATTAAAAGGAGTAGATAAATATTTTTGAGTGCTTTTCTCTCTTCCTGCCCATTTCCCATTTGCTTCTTAGATAGAGCACTGCTGCTAGAGCTTTTTTTTTTCTTTTTTTACATTCACTCAATGTCAACTACAATCCATGTTTAAATTTGTTGGCTTAGAGCCAGTTGGCTTACCAATTTACATTAGCCTGTTAAGAAAAATTAAATAAAATGTGAAAATGAGATGAAAATTGCTCTGAAGAGAAATGGAGGCTAACAACAGTGAAATGGCCCATTAATGACCTGATATTCAGCCCCTTGCTGAGTTCACAGTTGTGTCGTTTTGTATTATTGCCAGACACTAAATGGAAATCCAAAGGAAAAATTAAAATAATTCTTTCATAGAGCAACCATTTATTAAAGTTCCTATTCTGGGTCAGGAACTGGAGTATGAAAAGCAGGAGACTTCTATATTCTGCCAGCAAATCACAACCTCATGCAGAGACTTCTTGAAATAAAAGCCAGAGCTACTATTGCTCATTCCACTCCATTACATTGTGAAGACACATACTTGTACAGAGTATCCAATGATAAAGATTTTTTTTCCTGTGGAAATAAGCAAGGGAAAATCCCAAGGTGTATTGGAGTGGGTGTGGGTGTGGGTGAGTGCGCACACGCACGTGTGCACACACATGCATCCCATACCATAAGTGGCCGAACTCAGAGCCTGGGTCCCATCCCTTAGCATTTGCACTCAAGGCTGGCACTCTACCACTTGAGCCACAAACTCCACTTCCACCTTTTTGGTGAGTAATTGAAGATAAGTCTCACGGACCTTCCCCAGGCTGGCTTCACATGGTGAGGCTCAGATCTCACAGTACTGATGGATCTTCAATGTTGAATAAGTAACAAATGATTTTCCAGAAGTGTCAGCAGATATTTACTAGGCACCTATGCAACCTAATTTTGAGTTAAAAAAGAAAATTACCTTTGAGCCGATTGCTGGTAGCTCACACCTATCATCCTAGTTACTCAGGAGGCTGAGATCTGAGGATTGCATGCAGTTCAAAGCCAGCCTGGAGGGCTGGGAAGGTGGCTCAGTGGTAGAGCGCTTGCCTTGCATGCTTGAGGCCCTGAGTTCGATTCCTCAGCACCACATAAGCAAAGCCAGCCTGGACAGGAAAGTCCATGAGACTTTTATCTCCAATAAATCAGAAAACCAGAAGTGGAGCTAGGGGTTCAAATGGTAGAGTACAAGCCTTGAGCAATAAAGCTCAGGAGTAGCACTCAGGCCCTGAGTTCAAGCCCAGGACTGGCACCAAAAAGAAAAAAAATACCTCAGATATTTTTCTTGTTCATTAGAATTATGAATTGTGTATATTGTTTCTTACTAATTAACCATTAAATTGTTTCCAACTATTGCTATCTTAATAGTTCACCGGATCAAGTCATTGTTTAGTCTTCTTGTCTTGCTCTATAATTCCAGAAGAGTATGTACAATATATTTAGTTAATTATACTCTGTTTTCTGTCTTCAAACCCTTCTATCATTGTCTTGTCATTGATTTCTCAAGTGGCTTTTTTTTTTGTTCGGTTGGTTGTGGGGCTTGAACTCTGGGCCTGAGCGGTGTCCCTCAGTTCTTCAGCTCAAGGCTAGCGCTCTACCACTTGAGCTACAGTGTCACTTCCAGTTTTCTGGTGGTTTAATGGAGATAAGAGTTTCATGGACTTTCCTGCCTGGGCTGGCTTTGAACCATGATCCTCAGATCTCAGCCTCCTGAGCATGAGCCACCGGCGCCCAGCATCAAGTGGCTTTTTTTAAAGTGTGTTAAAAACTGCCCCTGAATTGAGGTTTGAATTCAGAGTCTTGAGCTTGTTAAACAAGAGCTCTACCACTTAAGCCAAGCATCCAGTGAAGCTTAAAACCAAATATGATTTGGAAATAGATACTTATGTCTTCTATTCTGAGTGAGCATCATTCATTACCTTTGGAAGAAAATGAAGCACTTGAGCAATAATCAAGTGTGTAATATAAGTAGAAAACAACCCAATTCCCTTCTGTTAAGGAGAGTTTTAACTCATTTAACGCATAGTAAATATATTATGGAAGACCAGCTTGTAATAGCATCCAACTTATACTTCCTAGGTACTATAAAGGATTTAGTATTTGGGCTTCTGTTCAATAGCCCTTATGATTTTCTTTTTGCTTCAAAAGTGAATAATTAGTTATTCTGATGATGTTACTTATTGAGAAGTAGTGGAATTTCTGGACTTACTTGTTATTTAACAACTTAATGCAGCATTATTACATCTTCTGTCATGAAATATTTGCTTTTAGAACTTTTTTCCTCTTAAAATGGAAACCAGATTAACAGAGAGCTAAGACTTTCCAGACTTCAGACTTTTCCATAAATGGTTGTTTGGAGAACTATTTATTTTGAGTTTTTTACTCCTTTGATTCTTCCAAAGAATGACATTTCAAGCCCCGCCCCTCCCGAAAACAGAAAGTAATTAAACATTTGTCCTAATTTAAGGGTTTCTCCTCTTCAAAAATCTGAAGTCGTGGAGATGGTTAAGAAGCAAGTCAATGTGATAACTCTTGCAATTGGAGATGGCGCCAATGACGTCAGCATGATTCAAACGGCCCATGTGGGTGTGGGAATAAGTGGCAATGAAGGCTTGCAAGCAGCCAATTCTTCTGATTATTCCATAGCCCAGGTAAAGCATCCTTGTTGTGAATCACTGCCATTCCTCCTAACCAGCTAGCTCTGTGAGGAGGGACAAATACTAACGTTTCTCGCTGTTCTTGCAGTTCAAGTATTTGAAGAATTTGTTGATGGTTCATGGTGCCTGGAACTATAACAGAGTCTCTAAGTGTATCCTGTATTGCTTCTACAAGAACATAGTCCTCTACATCATTGAGGTAACAGCAGGTTAAACTTAAAATCCTTGTCACTTATATCCACAAAATAATGTTACTTATCAAGGCCTTATTTTCTCATTATTTTCATTAATATACTAAAAATCCTTGTCACTTATATCCACAAAATAATGTTATTTATCAAGGTCTTATTTTCTCATTATTTTCATTAATATTTAATTTGCTCACTTTCTTTTCTAAGTGTGTTCAAATAAATAATAAAAAGATTGTCAGCTATGAAAAATAATTCATATTCAATTGGCTAAAAAGAAATTTAAAAAAACATTGTAATACTTGGGTGGAAATTAGACTTGTTAATAAGGTAAAGTTTTCAGTTTTCAAAGAAACTATAAGGTAATTTGTTTTGTTTTGGGTTTTTTGTTGTTTGTTTTTGTTTTGTTGGCCAGTCCTGGAGCTTGAACTCGGCCTGAGCACTCTCCTTAAGCTTTTGTGCACAAGACTAGTGCTCTCCTATTTGAGCCACAGCTCCACTTCCAGGATTTTGTGGTTAATAGAGTCTCATGGACTTTTCCTGTCGTGGCTGGCTGAGTAGATAGGATTACAGGCATGAGCCACCAGTGCCTGGCTCACTGTAAAAGCAGTGCTGCCATTTGTAAAGCTCAAAAATGTATCAAAGGCCACTGTACACTATGGAGGATAGTATACATATGGGCAATTCTAGGTACAAAAGAAAAATGAATGGTTCCAACCACACAAAAAAAGAAAGAAAATTTAAAAAAGAAAACTTAGAGGATAACAAATACAAAACTGAGGATAAGAGTTCTAATTCTAGGAGAGGCAAATAAGTAAAATGAGGGAAAATATAACAATAGCTTTGCCAGTGTTGATTTTGTCCAGCAGTTCTTTTTTCAAAACTCAGACCTTCGTTATATACAGCTATCCCTTGCTATCCAGATCTGCTCAGGTTTCCTGAGTTTTGTAAGTATGAGTAAAGTAAGTTAGTAAGAGTTCAGACAATAAGCATTTGTCTTAAAAAAAAAAAAAACCTCCAGAATATTCAATTCCTTTGTCTAGCTAGCCAAAGAATTTCATGATCCTTTCATGGAACAATTTTACATCATTTTAAAAATGAAAATTTAAGTCAGCAATACCACTCCTTAAGAAGATGTATGTTACCTTCCAAATATTTTGGGTACACCTACCCCATGCCAAGCATCAAGCGTAGTCCAGCAGCTATGAAGTAAGTCAAGTACGAGCCTGCCCTCCAGGAGCCAACCAATTGGATGGCAATGGAAGCCACATGTGTAATTCTAAATCTCCTAGGAAGCTGCATTAAATGCTAAAGCTAAAACCCAGAATGATTTTAATACCCTGCTTTAATTCGATTTTATTCAAATTATTATAATTTTTAACATGGAAAAAATTAATAATTTTTATATCCTACACACTTTTCTCCATACTAAGCGTCCAACATCTGGTGTGTATTTTGCATCCATAGCACATCTCAGTTTGAATTAGGTGCCTTTCGAGTGCTCTAGAGTCCATGTGGCCAGCAGCTACTACACTGAACAGTATAACCCAATGGATAAATATGTGGTGGTTGTAACTGGCGGTTACTCTGGAAGTGATAAATACACAATTTGCTTTTGTTTTAACATTTGGCCTTTGAATCATCAGAAGCTCTATTACAGTAATGAAACCCCATGTGGGATCAGTTTCACTGTAGCTCTGTGGAACATAGCAAGGAATCCCAAGAGCTTGAGAACTCCCACCCCCATCCCATGCTCATGAATCTGCCAAGGGCTCTCTTATAGATCTCCGTGCTTCTTTGCCCTCTATTCCTTTCTACTCATCTGTCAAGAGAGACATAACCTGACCATTTGCTGTATGGATCCCATATTTTACACCAGAGGAAAAAATCATCAGATTCCACAGCTATCCTGTTACTTGGAAATTACTATAGGCTTGGCTTATCAGTTTTTGTTCTCACAGAGTGCCTGTCTCCTTTTTAAAGTGTTGACTAAGCATAGGTCTTCTTTGAGTCATTTTAGTAATATTAAAACTTAATTTTGATATACTAAAATAGAATCATGAAAGTATCCATAGGTTATAACCCACTAGATTAAAATGACCGAACACAAGCCAGATAGAGTGCCACACACCTCCAACCCCAGTACCACGGAAGATAAAGCATGAGTTTGAGGCCAGCCTGGCCTACATACTGAGACCCTGTCTCAAAAGTCCAAAAACTAATTAATAACCAAATATTGGCAACATAAGCAAGATACTTTATGAACTTGCTGATTGTTCATTTTGGTGAAATTTGATCTGTCATAATCTGTGCTTTAAAGCAAAATGCATCTCCAAAATAGTTTATGAGATTAAAAAATCTGTTTTATGTATAAGTGTGTGATTATTTTCTAAAATAATTGGAATGGAATTTTGACTTCCATTCTCCTCTATATATCTAACTTTCGTCAAAACACTGACATTCAAAGGGTATTATATGGTTTATTTACATAGAGTTTTGAAGACTTTTAAACCAAGAGTTGAGAGCCACTGCCAGCAATAAATCTGCTTACAAAAAATTAATTTGACAAAATGACTTAAGTTAAGATTATAAATCTTGATTGACAGGTGCTTTTTAAATCAAGATTAACTGACAATCAACAATGAAGTGGACAAAATTTATGTATAAACAGGAGAAGTAAAATGTACTAAACTCAAAAGAAAACTAAAGCTGCACACTCTATTTCAAGCCCAAAGTTATGTGACTTGTGGTTGATTAACCCTAAGTTTCGCTTAGCTTTGAATTTAAAGCCCCTTCATGAGATATTTAACACTGATCACATTCTTCACACATTGAAAAGGAAGTGAGTTCTAAATTTTACTGGAAATCTCATCTTTATTTTCTTTTAGCACTTTATGGAAATGTATTTTGAATATAATTCAACTGTCTTGGAAATGAATCGACTTTTAAAGCAGTTCCCAAACACCCAACTTTTGCCAGCTAAAACAAGTTCTGCAGATGTTAATGGCTCATGTCAATACTATGAATGAATAGACAGAAAACACATCGCTGAATGTCCCTAGTGAGGACAACTGCCAGTCTCCAATCTCTCCTTTCAGTTTTTTGTGCTGGTCAGGCGTGGGAGCAGAGAACTCATTGAGTATTTGTAAGCTGCTGTTTAATATGCAGAAATGCTGCATCAGGAAAATGCCTGCGGTGCCTTAGCTGCCACGCCTCTTCAGAGATGTAGAATATGGAAATAATTCCAGAAAAGCGGGTCTGGGGTTGCTTTGCTAATAAAGGAACCATCTTGAGTACTATGGGTTTTGTAGACTTTCTGCAAAAACTGTTTTACCGTTGTTTTAGTGCCAGGAATATCACCATCTAGCTGCTCGATTGCTATAAATGATCCCAGCCTAACAAATAGATTCAACAAGAGGCTGGTATTGAGCTGTTACTTCGAAAGCTGTCTGGGGGTGAGATTTGGTGGGGTTTTGTTTGTTTGTTTGTTTCTTAAATTATTGACTTCATCGAAAGAGGTTTTCCCCCCTCTCTGAAACTTGTGACTTCTTCTTAGCAAAATAAGATCTTTTCCTTCAAATGATTGGTTGTATACAGGTTCCCTGGTAAGCTATTTAGAACAGTATGGTGTTTCTAATTTCCAGAAGTGTTAATTAAAAGTCGGTAAGGTGATGATTTCTCAGCAAGTTGTGCTGAGAAATAGATTCCCTGTGGATCTAAATAATACAGCTACCTCCTCAGGGGCCTGGCACTTTCCTTCTCCGGCTATAGTTCATATGTGTATGGTAATTCAAGTGTTGTTTTACTGAGCATGAGATATGTTCCTAAGCTACCACTTCACTGCAAACCACAGACACACATGAAAAACAGACCTCTGGTGGACTGCTTCCCTGTAAACCATCTTCTCTTTATCCTTTAAAATAAGTAGGACTGGGCTGTAGCTCAGGGGCAAAGCACTTGTCTAACAAGTGCAATCTCCTAGGTTCAATCTCCAATACCAAAAAAAAGAAAAAGAAAAAACAGATTAAAAAGTAAATAAACTCATTGATCAAGATGTGGTGTATCATAAATTGTTGGGTTGAATTGAAACTGCTTTGTAGAACTATTTAAAGCTAGAATTTAAAAATTAAAATAAGCACACAAATAATAAATAAAATAGGTAAATGTGGATGCCCACAAATAATAAATAAAATAGGTAAATGTGGATGCCAGCATATACGTGTGAAGATCTAGATACTGTATTAAAAGGTTCTGTTCTCACTTAGACAGCTCTACCTCTTTTGAAAAAAAAAGAAATTAGAATGCGATCTTTTAATAATACAGAAAATAAATTTCTAAAAACATTATGTTCATCTACTAACTACTAAGAAAAATGAGATGATAAAACAGTTCTTCACAAAAGAAAATTTTGCCATACACTGTAAATGCACACTTTTGGTTTATTTGCAAGTTGTTTTAGATCTGAAACTTTCTGCAAATAGTCATTGATTTGAGGGGAGGGTCTAAAATTTTAAGTTCATAGTAACCTTTGAATCCATCATCAAATGTTATGTATAAAGAACCGAAAGAGGTACTTACATTGACAAATGTTTGCCTACCGTGCACAAATTTATTACTATAACCTTCTTATAATACATAGAATTGATGACTACAAATACATTTAAAACTATAACTTTTGAGCTAGATCATATCCATTAGATGAATTAAATGTGCAGAGAGCCTCTGCTTTCTGAAGACCAACAGGCTGAACTGGGCTTCTTAGCAAAAAACATCAGTGAAAGTCTGGGTTTTAAAATCTTTTGTATTTCCATCATACACAAAATTCTAAAAAATACATAGCCATCAGCTGGAGTCTGTTTTATCTAATTGTATGTAGTTATGAGGAAAAAAACAAGATTCTAGTGGTTTAGGTTTTAATGTTTACACGTATGAATGATCTGGCTCATTGTCTAAGGCAAATGTCCCAGATTTTTCTGCAAATCCTTTAACAAAGCAACGATTTGACTCCTATCTCTTTGCTTTTGTTACCATCATTCGTCTGTTACAATCTTAACACAATCTGAACTTCTTTTCATGTGTTATCACTACTTTGTTTTTTTTTCCCCATCTCATATAGCAGATGTTTATTTTCATACACATGCAACCATTTTTCCCCATTATAAAAGGGAAGAGGATCATTGAAGAGTACAAAAACTGTTTGTGGAAGGGCCAGCCTGGGTACATCTTGGTAAATGGTGAATTTGTGGCAGTACGTGCTTCCATAATGAGGTTAAATGAAACACGAAGTATAGCCAAGTCCCTGTGACACTTACTCTAATTCTTCTAGGCACATGTTCAGTACCACTTTGTTGGGAGTTTTGTAGTTGTGTTGTATTTGTATTTATGTAATCTCATTGCTTCTCTTACCTTTTTCTCTCCCAGATCAACTTGATTTTTTAAAATAATAATATAGCTATTACTGACTTACTAGAAGTCACTTTAATTTCTTGTATGTTTTAAACATGTTGGAGAAAAAGTTTATATGACTCAGAAATTTTGTTTCTACACTTTCTGTTTTAAAGAGAATTTTAAAAATATCTGATAACTTTAGGTTCTAGTTGCTGAGGGTTAGATTTTTATCATAGCTTAAAACTTAGGTTAAAAATATTTTATTAAAAGGAGGAGGTAACAGTGCTTGATAGGAAATGTACTCATTATCTTGCTCATGTAGCTGTACTCCCTCTGTACAATATTTACAATAAAAATGTATAAAATAGAAATAAAATAAAATATGCTCAGTTAGGAAAAAATACTTTATTAAGTATTTTTTCAGTCGAGAATTCATTGTTTAGACCACAAAACTAAGAAAAGTAAGGGAAGATATGGGTTGAAGAAAGGTGAGAATGATAAAGGTGGTAACACTGATCAAGATACATTGTATTCATAAACTTTTTTGTTACATGGAACCTCATTTGTACATCTACTTAAAGATAATACATTTTTAATTAATATATAAATTCACATGACTAAAAACTGTTAAAAAGAGAACAACTTTTATACATTGACCAATTAATTCTACCTCGAGAATTCATCCTAAGAAAGAAAAAGAGATATGTAGTCCAGAATCAATTCTAATAGCCAAAAAAAAAAAAAATTCTATAAGCAAGCTAAATGTCCAAAACAATAGTATCTACACTGTAGAAATTCTGCATCCATCAACAGCACCTTAAAGGATATGTAACAGTAAAGGCATGTTTTGTAATGTTAAGGAACAGGAGTAGGATGTGACAATATATCCTGTAAGTTCCAAATAAAGTAAAATTTTTAATGTGCTTAACCAGCTATGTGGGTACAGCCGATGTGGCAGAAAATAGTGACTCTCTTACTATGAAAAAGTATTTGATAAGTGTCACTTCTATAATAAAAGTGATCTTTAAGCAGCTAATCCTAATATTTTCAAAAGGAATTAAAACTGCAAAAATCAAATATTTAAATATATTCTGGTTTTAGAAACAAGACTGCATCTACTTGTTTTAATCTAGGGTTTCTTGTTCACTGTAGTTCTTTTTTTATAATTGGACAGGTAGAACCAATTTTTACTTAAACAGGAAATATCTTATAAAAGTATAGAATGCCATTTTTGTACAGCAAATGAATGTCATTTTTTTACGAGTATCCTGAAAACAATTATGTTGATGCTGCTGCTTTTTGTTGTGCTTTGTTTTTAAGTAGCATTTACAACAGATTTGAAGCCATGCATTGATGTTTTTGTGTTCTAATTTTGTGGGTGATTTTCTTCCTAGATCTGGTTTGCCTTTGTCAATGGCTTTTCTGGACAGATCCTCTTTGAAAGATGGTGTATAGGTCTTTATAATGTGGTAAGTTTAGCAGAATTGATCATTCTTATTTTATTTAATATTCTGAAATAAAGATTTGCCTGGCATTTGGCTGCTTGGGATAATGACCAGTTTGTTATTTTAGATGTTTACGGCTATGCCTCCTTTAACTCTTGGAATATTTGAGAGATCGTGCCGAAAAGAGAATATGCTGAAGTATCCTGAACTATACAAAACATCTCAGAACGCTCTGGACTTCAACACCAAGGTAGGAACTGTGCTGAGCACAAAGTCATTCTGCCAGATTTATTGCTGTTCCTATGTGGGGCATCTCCAAAGCCAAGGAGAGTCCAGCTTGGCACAGCTGCAGAATGGACAGCATAGCAAGCCCCTGTTCTAAAGGTTCTGATATGTCAGGAAAAGGTGTTTTGTAATTAGGTTGTGTCGGTTTATATTATCAAACTAAAGAGAAACCTCTGTCCACTTGAGTTTTTGAGCAGCAGAAAGCTGGTAAAGCAGACAGAAGCCACTGTCCTTTGGTCCTCTGGCTGTCCATTTCTCTCCATTTCTTCTAGCCAGGCTCAAGTCACATAAGACACAAAGGCTGGCTTTACAGGTATAAAGGGGCAAGAAGTGTTATATCATTCCTGGCCAATTTCCTATTTCCTCAGATAACTTTGTCCTCATTAGAATTTCAGATCAATTGTGTCAGACATTAAAATTCTAGTCTCTGGGAAGTAACTTACCATATAATCATCATACTCAGTTTTTCCAAGTCTTAAAATTAAAAATACATAAAATTTCCAGCATTTTCTCTGAAATCAAGTCTGGGCTTATATTCTATGTAAGTCATAGGCTATCATCATCTGCGATGATCCATGTATTGATTCACTCCAGTGATGAAAAGTATCTGATTTTCTTCATACTTTACTTTCCTGCAAGTGTAGAACCTAAAATGTTTTCATTGATATTTGAGGGAGTAATTCAGGCCTCTGTTTAGTGCAAATCAAGAGGGAAAGTTTTCTTTTCCCCCATGTATTTTTATTGTTGTTATAAAGGAGGGGCTACAGATACATCTATCAGGTAAAGAGTACATTTCTTTTTCAATAATGTCACCCCTTCCTTCTCTCCCTCCCAGTTTTTCCCTTCCATCCTCACCCACAAGTTGTATACTTCATTTTCAACATAATGTCTAGTGAGTACCACTACTGCATTTGTCCCACCATTTCTGTGCTCCCCTTACACCCCCCAAAGACAGATAAATGAACAAACAAAAGGAAAAGCAAACAAAAATAGCAACAAAGGAAACTTCTCTCATTTCTGTTTCCTGGAGATCATTTCAATAAATATTATTGTATATGATCAGATACACATAGGTATTGCTCCTTTGTGTTCTTCTCCTAAAACTATCCAAAGAAAAGTTTGAATAATTTTTTTAAAGAATCCGGGTAGATGCTATTTTTAAATGAACATTCAGGTATTTGACTGGTAGTATCATATAGCAAATATGTCATCACCAAATTGTTTCCCTTTGATATAGGGCATGTTTATTAGCATATTTCTAATGAGAACATGTAACCTTGACTACATGTAACATTAATTCAGAGTCTTGAGTTTAGGAGTTAATATAGGAAACTTTTAATATTAGTTCATGAAGCTCTCCAGTAACATTTATTCTCAGTATACCTAGAATACCAGTGAAACAGGTATTCCATGACCTCCCATGATAAATGATACTAAAGAATTCAGAGCTAAGAGGTCATTCTTCAGAGACTCAATCTCCATGAACAGCCAGCTATACGCACACATGTAACTACGTGCCTTCATTTGGCTAATTAAAATAACAAACACACTGAAGAGTTCTTTAACTTATTTATAACACTGGTTCTGAACAGGACTCTTTTTTTATAAGCTGTAACGATTTATAATATCAGTGACTAAGCATGTATTTGTAATAGGATTTGTGGGGAGGGAACTTTAAAATTCATTTAAGATGCCCAGATTATATGGAGTCCAATCACATGGTTGTAATGCTTTTAATTGCCTGGGGCAGTCATGTTCCAATGATGGAAAACTGTAGTTGAGGGAATTAAATACGTGTGAGCTGGAAGCTAAGAAATCCCAGGCCTTCTTAAATAGGAGGATTATTGTAGACCAGCAATAATTCTCACCAGCCTAGACAGTTGTATGTATCTCAGCCATAAGTTTCCTCTATATAGTTCAGGCTCTGTGATGCGATCTCAGGAGTTAACTTCCCAGCCACATACTGGGCCATGTCACTCTGCCTTATAAATGTGAATCAATCCTATTTCTGCAGCATCAGATCCTTTCATGACCTTTGTACATAACAACATGGACCCAGTTTTGTGGCCAGGAAAGGGGCAGAACAGGTAGTATATAATTTCAATGTGGGAGCATTACTTCCTATATCATTTGCTGTTGAAAACCTATGCGATTATCCATACATCCCAGGCATTTATTGAGAAAAGTCTCAAGATCACTTTAAATGGGTTGTACAAATTCCATATCTACCTGAATACTCAGAGCTCTTAAAATGCAAGTTGCCAGACATTTTTGTAGGGCTTATTGATTTCTCTAATGATTTCACTGACACTTCTTTGACTGCAGTCATAGAAGTGTTTTAAAATTCAGGGACAAGTGGCTACAAAATGCATAGCTGTGTCCACAGCGGTTGCTGTGGGTCCCAAGCAGAGAAGCATTGTATCCTTGAATGATGATGCTTAACGTTTGTTATGGTAAAAAGGGTCAGAGGTTCTGAGGTCCTGACAGAGGTTAAAGGATTAGCATGTGACAATAAGTATTGGTCAGGAAAATGGAAAAGTAGAACTAATTTTTCTTGCACCCACCTGTGCTTTCTGTCAAATAAAAACTTGGGGAAATGACATAGCGAGGAGAAGCGACAAAGGTTAATGAGTAACACAAGTTCAAATGTGTAATGTATTGGAGCGTAAATTGGATCATACAACCCAGTGTGGCCGTATGAACTAACAAAGGAGATTGAGATCACAGTGGAAAATTTTGCGAGGCAGGCAACTTAATTTCTGTTGTTTGAACAGCTTAAAACTATTAATACGTGCCAATTTCATTTAGCCTGAGTTTTGTTTGCGAGACACACATCTACACGACAAAACTACAACTGTGCAGGCGGTCCTGCCTGAGAATTCTGAATCGTTTCCTATAACTTAATCTCTCACATCCAGGATACAAAGAAAGTACCAGTGATCCTTGCTCTCTTGTTCTTAAAATGCAACTGACATTAAAAAGTACTAGCTATTAAATGATGTTGTAATGATGTGACATTTGGTGTTGACCAGTTGGTATTGAAGTGTTGATAAATTCAGTGTTAGGCACAGCATTTTAATGCTTATGTGATTTAACTGTTATATGTACTATTTTAAAATAATATATATGCCCTTGTATGTTTCTAAAGCATGAGAGAAAGAAAGCACCAAAACTTGTTACCATTGAAAAAGTCACAGTTGTACTGCACATGGAGGGAAAAAAAAAGATTTCACCCAAATTACAGTGTTCTTAAAAGTCTGTTTTTCTGGAAATAAGAAAATAGTTCCAACAATTTCAGGATCCTGCATTTATTGTAAATTTTGTTTTTTTTTTCAAGCAGAAATGGAAACGTCTGTTACTTTGGCTTTTAAAATGTAGGAAAAGAAAGTTCAAGTGAAGCTGAGAAAAACATTTTGAGAAACATAAAAATAAATAAATGACCCATGAAAGTCTAAGAGGCAGAAAAGTGTCTGTCAGTTCTATTAATTCACAGTGGTGGCCTGACAGAAACACATTTTGTGCATCTAGCTTATAGATAAAAAGAAAGGTCAGAGTTCACAGAACTAGTTTATCGCAAATGGTTCTCATGGATTTTTGTTTTCCCCCAGGTTTTCTGGGTTCATTGTTTAAATGGCCTCTTCCACTCAGTTATTCTATTTTGGTTTCCACTAAAAGCCCTGCAGTATGGTAAGTAGAAAGGATATGAATACTATGAGATGACTTTTTGCTTTCTTTATTTTAAGTAAAGTAACTCATTATCATTATATGTTAAAGTTATAGCAGTGTTTCATTTTATGGTATTTTCCTTAACTTAATCTGCACACATCCAAAGTTGTACACACTTTAAAGATTTTTTTTTTATTATTCCCGTGGGAGCAAAGTGATTTAATGTATGCAAAGCCTTTCTTCTTTACTTCTCATGGTTTCCAAACTTGCAGAGAGTTAAATTTTAGGACTCTGTTTCTCCCCTCAGTTGATGCAGAGTGTAAAGACAATAAGTGCTAATATTTTATGTAGTCTATTTATTATACCTATGAGACTGTAACAAGCACTTTATACTGAGCCTAATCAGACATGCTAGTATTTTTCAAATGGCTTTTGAGCTGATGTTTGGGTTGAACTTTTTTTTTAATATGTTTTTTTATGGTCATCTTGGAGTGGAAGCTTTTTTTCTCTGTTTATTTCAAGGCAGTGATTTTATTCTTTCGGTTCTGGAGATAGCATCATGGTGTCCTTCCTACACGCATAAATATGATGAAGTAACCTCTGGGGGAAAAAGCCTTGTTACTCTCAGGCTGGTGTTTCTATGTCCCAGAGCAAGTCTAGTCCTGAGATGCTGGGGTAGACAGCCAGCCATTCAGTGCCTAGGCTCCAGACTGAAATACAAAGTAAAAAGATGGTGCATTCTCCACACAAGGGCATGTCCATTCTTCCTAAATTCTGGCACTTCCTGTCTCTGACTTCACAGTTGCCAATAACACCACATATGCCAGTGGCTCATGCCTGTAATCCTAGTTACTCAGGATGCTGGGATCTGAGGATCTTGGTTCAAAGCTAGCCCAAGCAGGAAAGTACATGAGATTCTTCTCTTCAATAATCTACTCAGAAAAAGCTGGAAGAGGTACTGTGGCTGAAATGATAGTGAGCCTTGAGGCTCAGGGACAGCACCCAGGCCCTAAGTTCAACCCTCAGGACCACCAAAAAAAGAAGAAGAAGAAAAAAGGATAGCATACAGCCTGCCCTTCCCCAGCTATGGCTTGTTCTCCATGGGAAATTGGAGTGATGCTTATACACTGTGAACCAAATCATGTTACCACGCTTAAAGCAGTATCCCTCACCTCCATACTCCCCACACTTCCCCAGATAGGTGAGCAGGCCCTTCCCATCCTCCTTGAGGATGTGCTCAGAGAGGCCCTGCCAGATCACCTGGCCAAAAGAGCTTCCAACACCCTACACCTCTATATTTCTTCAGAGGTATGTGCAATATGTTGATCTCTTTTGTATCACCTTTCTCCTCTGTTTGAGTCAAAGTTTCAGTAAATTAGAGAACTCATTTGTTTTTGCTCTGCTTAGAACTGTGCCTAACTTCTAACAGGCCCCCAAAAACTGTGAATAGATCAGCGGAAGTATACTACATGAGTCAGTATTATACCAAAGGTAATATATGCAGGGCCTTGAAGAACTTTTAGTCTCCTTTCTTTATCAGTGTTCAGAAAGTTACGACCACAAATACTTCTCGCTTTCCAGGCGATCGGAATTAGTGGAATTAGTTTGTTTTTGAGATATACTATACTGCAAATTTTAAAGTACAACTCAGTGGGGTTTTTTTGGTATATTCATGCTTGAAACTATGCCAAGTATCACCAACATCAAATGCTAAAATATTTCATCATCCCATAAAGAAACCCCATACCCATTAGCAATTGCTCCCTGTTTCTAAACACCCTTTCCCTGCAGTCTCTTGGTAACCACTATTTTTTCTCTCTATAGACTTGCCTATTCTGGACAGTCATATAAATGGAATTGTATAAGTGATCTTAGTTTGTGTACTTGGCAGCATGAATCAGTATATCATTCCTTTGTCTGACTGTATAATATTAATGTCCAGTATACCTAAATATTAAGTTCTCTAGGTCAAGCTAATTTTCAAAATGCAACATCAATATAAGTAATAAAGACAGAACATGTACTGTCTATTAAATTGCTGTTTCAGCATCCTAAAAAAGAAATATAATCTCGAAAGTAGCTCAGACTGTGTAGCCAGCAATATACCTTAGCACTGACAGTATTTGAAAGAATGACTTACCCTTCTGAATAGCAGATACTAGATCACCCCAGGCTCAAGTCATCCAGTTTCAATTCATGTTCTTTATAAAGGCTGCTACCAATGAAGACCAAATGCAACAAAATCTAGAAGTTACTTGATAATTTTCCTCAGAAGGTGAGGAAAACTACTGTACTTTATGTTCTACCATTTTGATATGAAAGGGGTTTGTAATTGTCTTACTTTATTGTTTACCATGCTATATTTGAACCCACTTTGACCTTGCCAACTAGACTTTCAATAAATGTCCCTAAACAGATACATCAATATTATTGCATATTACATATTACAGTGTCATGGGTTTAAATTTTTTCTATAACACCAATGATTTTGTTATTCAATCATGTTTTTATACTGACTCAATTTTTTTACCAGTAATAATTTTTCTTTGTTGGCTGTTAAGTTATTGCCAGAATAACAAAGGTTTTTTAAGTGTCCCTAAATTGACCCAAACCCTCAAAGGATTGTGTGCCTAGAATCCAACTGGTGCTCCTGAACCTTTCTGAGTTGCTTACTGTGAATCCTAGTGAAATATAATAAATAGATAGCAAGAAAAGTCCTCAGACCCTGGTCATGTTGAGGGTCAAGATGCAGAAGGCTTTCTAAGATCTCAATGCCCATAATGACTAGTTTGATTTGTTTTTCATATTTTTACTTTCTTTTATCTTATGGACTCTGAAAATTGGCCTGCAGTATAGAATTTCTGCTTCCTATTTGCTCTTGGAAATTTGTTTTTAATTTGTGTCCCATCTATAGCAATATTATGAGACTTGTTAAAGATGGAATCTGGATTTGTTGTTGTTGTGTGGGGTTTTTTTTTAATCTCTTTTCTGACTCTACTGTGTGTCTTGTGGTTCTTCTTTTGTTCAGAGTTTAATTGATTTATCTTTCCTGGACCTTCTTTACTTTTTCACTACTTTTTCTCTTCTTTTCTTTCAGGTACTGTGTTTGGAAATGGGAAAACATCTGACTACCTGCTTCTGGGAAACTTTGTGTACACTGTGAGTGCAGGATTTGTGCTTGTTCACATACAGAACCCAAACCTTTTTGTCTGTGATTTTCAGATTTAAATATGTGACACCAACCATGGTAGTGCAGGCCTATAATCCCCACTATTCAGCAGCTATAGGTAGAAGGATCAAATGTAATACAAGCTGGGCACTGATGGCTCATGTCTGTAATCCTAGCTACTCAGGAGGCTGAGATCTGAGAATCTTCAAAGCCAACCTGAGCAGGAAAGTCTGTGAAACTCTTATCTCCAGTTAACCACCAGAAAACTGGAAATGGAGTTGTGGCTCAGAAGTAGGGCACTAGCCTTGAGCAAAAAAGCTCAGAGATAGCACCTAGGTCCTGAGTTCAAGCCCCACAACTCCCAACTGAATGTAAGACCAGCCCAAGCAAAAGGCATGAGAAGACCTTATCTGAAAAAAATCAGGCTTGAAGGTACAGCTCAATTGGCACCTCACCTGACAAGCAAATGCACAGCCCCAAGTTCAAATCCTAGTACCCTCTCAAAAAAAGTAAATTTAAATGTGAGCATTTCTGGATTATATACGGTTGCATTATCTTTGTTCACTTGGAGGTTTGGTGTGTTGGTTTGGTCTTTCACGATAGAATCACCTGTGTAACCCAGACTGGCCCTATCATTAGCGATCCTCTGGCCTCATCCTCCAGAATGTCCATCACCATTCTATACAAGGCCCTTAGTTAAGCCTTTCTTCCTCTCTAGAAATGTTCTCACAGGCACACAGACAAACCCAAGGTGCTTCTCAGTCAATTGACAGTCAAGGTAAGCAGTAGGTAAGCTTTATCAGTCCCAGGTTTGAGATGAAGAAGCTGAGACACACACACAGAGGAGGTAACTTGTCTTGTTCATTAACCAAAGCAGCTGTGTAGGTAGGTGATGTTATCTTGGATACAGAAAGCCTGATTCCAGGCAGGGCATTTGCAATAGGAAGCACAGAATAGTCAATATGCTATTGTTTCACTTTTAGACTTTATTTTTAAAGTTCAAGAAGTTGAGACTTCAGTGTGAAAGGTGGTTTTAAATTAGGTTAAAGGAAGCTTGAAAATACAAGGTAGCGTAAGCATGTGCTTTTGGTCACTATTTGTACAGATGCAGGCAAACACATCCTCAGAGCCTTGCCCATGGCCTGTGAGGCTGGGATCATGAGCAGGCAGGAAGGGCAGCAGGAGGAATATTCTGTGCCAGCTGTGATCAGCTACATCCTGATGTGGCCACCTGACTTATTCATTCATTGCTTCTCTTGTTGGGCATAAAAAGCAAGCAATGAATAATCCAGTAGTCCCATGGTCAATTCAACACTGTTCTTTCAAAGTCTCACTCTTGATCATTTTATCAGCCATCACATTTATGAAACAAATAATATTTCTCCTTTCTGTTTCAGTTTGTAGTGATAACTGTGTGCTTGAAAGCTGGATTGGAAACTTCATATTGGACATGGGTAAGATTATCTCTAGTGACAACCAAGAATTGTCCCATTTGTCTACATGTTCTCTCCAATTTTTTGGTTATTTTCCACTTTAACTTGGTGTCTTCCTTTATCCCAGCCCACAGGTTGGTCATTGTGGAGTGTTAGGGGGTGGAGGAAAGAGAACTGGGGATTCCAGTTTGGAAACATTGTTAAGCCAGCAAGTCTTATTATCACAAGATTTCACATAGCCTTATATAAGTATATATATATATATATATATATATATATATATATATATATATATATATATATATATATGTGTATGTATATGTATATCTATACATACATTCTCTATTGTAAGTTGTATATATTGTGACTTTGGAAATGATTTTCACTTATATACCTTTTCTTAGACACACCACAAGATTGGTGTTCTATAGACAACCTATGAGAAAACAATGTTGAAGGCCAGTAGTGTTCCTGAAAGATTTGTCCTCAGATATGTATGAATACTCAATCTGTATAAAACAGCTTCTATTGCAGCATAGCCACATCCACGTAAAGAAAGCTAGTTAAAACAAAAGAATGAAAATAAAGCTTGATGGTGGGTAAGACTGATATAAGAAATTTGGATGTGACTATCATGGGCATCGAGGTTACTATGTCTAGCATCTCTGAGTGAGAGCACGTACAACAAAACTAAAGGAGACTGAAAGATACTAATGCATTTTTAAGCAAAAGTAAAAGTAAGAGGAACGATTCACCTTGAGCAGCGAGTTCTAAATTCTATCCTCAGACATTCTAACTGTTGTAGAAGAAATGAGCACTCAACTCAAGAACCAGTAAAACAGGTGCACACATGCAATCACCTAGCAATGCCCATGGCCCAGAGTTCTGTGCATGTAATAAAAATAAGTAAATGCATTTGTGAAGGTTTCATTAGTGTTTGTGTAATGTTGTAACTTGGATTTCCTTCTTCACAGTTCAGCCACATAGCAATATGGGGCAGCATTGCCCTCTGGGTGGTGTTTTTCGGAATCTACTCATCTCTGTGGCCTGCTGTTCCCATGGCTCCCGATATGTCTGGAGAGGTAACTATGCTAATAACTCATGATCCAACCAAATCTTAAAAATGGGATCCTCCTTAAGAAGCCTTCCTTGTGTAGTGTGGTTTTCCATTTTGTTGATTTATATTCAAATGGCATTTGACCATTTAAAAGCTATTTTTAGATTTCCACCAATGGGAGTGATAAATCTCCAAAGAATCTTTTTAACTTGAACATTTCACTTAAAGCGGACTTATCCCTTCTTAAACATAGCTGGAACAATAAAATACGGTTGTCAGGAGCTTGAATTATCTAGGAATATCCATATAGAAGATGATGCCATGTTAAAATCAGACCATAAATCCACAAAGTATATTTTGGATAAGAAGTCTGGGGTTCTGTCCTTAAGACAGTCTATCATTTCTTCTGTTATCTCTTTTTCTAGAGAAAAGTCTGCTGTCGCTGAATTAAATGCACTTTTAGAGTTCTCTTAATGACATCGGTTAGGGACTCATTTTGAAAGAATTAGGGAATGAGACATTTCAGCCTTATCATAGTCCATTTTCAATTCTGTCTTTCAGTTTCTTGTTGCAGTGGTAGGAATTGAGTTATTAGGTGTTCGTGGGGGCAGAGTCAAAGATCTCCATTCCTTCAGAAGAAAGGCCAGCAGTAGGAGGGTTTATGATTTCAATTGCAGGAAATTTGACATAAAATGTATAAAAGAAAATATGGAAAACATTTCAGGATTTCCTGTGACCTCACAGTAACTTGCAAATCAAGGTAACATGAGCCCTGTTGCAGTGCATTGTTTTACCACAGTCACATGAATGATTTCCAGTGGTTTCTATGTATTTCTTGCCCCTAAGTACTGCCTGAGTACCTTTCACTTTTGACAGTCTGGTTTATAGATCATTTTCATGAAATTTTATCTGACGGCATCCTGCCTTTTATAAATTAGCAGCATGCAGACACATTTTTAAAAAATTTTATGGTTAAATTTATTAGAGAGAGGCATTCTATACTATTACAGCAAAACCAGATGATTCAGAAACATGCATTTCCTTCTACCAAATGGAAAGGCATCTTTTGAAATGCATGCTACAAACCCTCGAAAACTTACAACACATATTTTAAGGGGAACAGAGAGAAAGCTGTGAATGCTTCGCCTTACAGCCTCAATTTCTGAGTCCATTTTTTTTCTGAAAAAGAAGAGAAAGGTTACCTGTATATATGTATAAGTTTGTATATATCTTGGCTGGTACCACGTGGGAAATCCAGTTCTATCTCTGTTTCTCTTTGATGTGCTCTGACTGAATCTCCTTCTATTCAAGGTCAATTCTAACCTATTATCTTTTCGATGAGACGTAAGTCTTTGCCTCAGTTTTTCTCATTTCTCATGTTTATCTTCTAAGTGAGTGACACAAAATATTTAGAAACCTATATAGTTTAAGCAACTGTGACCACTAGGTTTGATGACAAGAGTTGAGTTTTTGACCACCTACTTCTAGAACAAGTGTGAAGTCTGACTGGCTTGTTGCCAACCAAATATAATTCTACCCTTGCCTGCAGAATTCCCAGTATTACCCAAATGCAGAACTTAATATCGTCTCTTGAGACATGCGGTGATGCTGTGTTTAATTCACAGTGAAATGAATGTCAGTACTCTGCCACATTTTTGTTCACTCCATGGACGGTGGGGAGTGCTAACAGGGATCCGTTTCTGATTGTTTTAATACTAGTACTAATAATATTGTTTTAATATATGTATTAAAACACTTGGAATTTAAACACTTCGAATAAAGTGTTTAAATAGTAGGTACTTCATCTAAAATATAAAGAATGAATTAATTCAGCTGCAGGCTCTACTAGCTTGTCCAAAGTGTAATGCTACTTTAAGGAATTCAAAATGGAAAAAAATAGTACTTTTAAATTAATGTAGTATTTTAGTGCTTGTAAAGCATTTTACACTGGTGTGTATGTGTGTGTGTTTAAAGGAACATGACAACGTCATACTAATGTCACTCAAATTCTAAGGAATAAATCAGATTTTATTCATTGTTTCTTGAACCTATGTAACTGCATTCAATTTGAATGTCTTCATTATAGACATAGAGTTTTTAGTTATAATGATGCAAACAGTTGTAGGATGAAATTGAGTATTTTGGGGTTTGCTCTAATTCTGTATGTCAACCAAGAGGTATAGTCAAATATACACATAATAAAATATTGCATAATTCATTTTCCATATGTATATATATGTATATGTGCACTTCATCATGTGTATATAGATATACAATATGTATGTATGTGTATATATAGAGATATACACATGTATGTGTGTGTGTGTGTGTGTGTGTGTGTGTGTGTGTGTGTGTGTGTATAATTGGCTGTTGTTTTATTGATTTAGGTATTCTTGCGTGAGGTCTTTGTCTGGCTGTAACAGTACTGAAGCTTGAACCCCAGGGCCTCATGTTCTTATTCTGCTTTTTTGTATGTGTGTGTACCAGTCCTGGAGCCTGAACTCAGGGCCTCACTGCTGTCCCTGAGCCTCTTTCTGCTCAAGGCTAGCACTCTACCACTTGAGCCCACAGCACCACTTGCAGCTTTTTGTGAGTAGTTTATTAGAAATCAGAGTCTCACAGACTTTCCTGCCAGGGCTGGCTTCGAACTACTATCCTCAGATCTCAGCTTCCTGAGTAGCTAGGATTACAGGCATGAGCTAGGGGGAACTCGGCTCATTCAGCTTTTTTGTTTATAACTGGCATTCTACCACTTAAGCCACATCTCCACCTCTGGCTTTTTGCTACTTGATTAAAGATAAGATTTTCATAGATTTGTCTTCCCAGACTGGCTTTGAACCTTGATTTTCAGAACTCAGCTCTTAAGTTTTAGGTTACAGGTGTGAACCATTGCACACCCAGCATTGTTGGATTGCTTTTGATTTTGGGTGTTTTATTTTATTTGAGACAAAGTCTCACTGTGTAGCGCAGGCTACTCCCGATCCTCCTACCTGTTCCTCCCAATTAATAGGATCACAAGAGTTTGCTACTGTGCCCAGCTAAGCTGACCATTTTAAATAAAGCCCTTTCATTCAGCTAGCTTTCATAGCCATATATTCTTGTACAAAAGTCAGACCTGATCTCCCACTAACAGGAAGTGGCAGAGAGGATTTTTCCTCCACAGTTTGATGCCAGAAAAGAGACTGAGCTGTTTTTCTGATGCTAGTTAGTCAGAAGATTTGATCTAGAAGTAAAGTATTCAGAGACACACTCCCAGTTCACAGGGAGATTTGCAGAGGAAATCTGTCATCTCTTTGACTCAGAGTGCTGACTCTTCTACATGTGTCTTTCTTTCCTGTTCTTTTTACATTAGTATACATTAATTATGTAAAAGTGTTGGCCATGGTATTTCACAAATGCATATACTGTACATTAGGCAGATTAACCCCCTCGGTTGCTCTCTCTTTTCCCATCTCCCCTTTTATTCAATATCTTCTATAGAGTTTCCTTATGCCATATTCATGGAACATACTCAGATACTGTTTACCCTCCATCCTTCTCTTTTCCTCTCTCTTCTCTCTTCTTTGTCTCCTTAAACAGTCCTACAATTCTAGTCACCTTTTTGTTTTCTTTTTGTCAGTCATGGGGCCTGAACTCTGGCCCTGGAAGCTTTCCCTTAACTCTTCAGCTCAACGCAAGCTCTCTACCACTTGAGCCACAGTGCCACTTCTGGCTCTTTCTGCTTATGTGGTGCTGAGGAATTGAACCCAGGGCCTCCTGCATGTGAGGCAAGCACTCTACCACTAAGCCACCTTCCCAGCCCCTCTAATCACCTTTTGTGTGTGTAGATGTAAGTTTGTGTAGATGTATGTCTTTTAGGTGTATATTCTACATATGACAAAATGTCTGCCTCTCTCCTTCTGACTCTATATGACTTTGCTTAACATAATGTTCTCCATTCCCATCCATTTCCCTGAAATGGAGTAATTTCATTCTTCTTTTTGACTAAATAATATTATACATTGTATATATCTGAGAATGTATATGTCCATATATTTAGGAAATTACTACCTATGCATATAAGTTCCAGTGTTTTTCCCCTAAGTTTTCCTGTAGTTATTTCAAAGTTTTGTGTCTGACATGAAGGACTTTGGATCCTCGTTGGATTGATTTTAATACAGAGTTTGAGCTGGATCTACTTACAGTCTTCTGCATGTAGATATCTCATTTTCCCAGCATCGTTTGTTGAAGACGCTGTCTTTTCCCCTTCGCACCCTTGTCACACATCAGCTGGCTGTACCTGTGTGGGCTCAGGCCTGGCTCTTAATATCTCTACCTTTTCCATCCCGCGGGCAGCACTGTGGTCTTCTTTTGGTGTCTCAATGGTATGTTGAAGTTGCCTCTTCATTTGTGTGCTCATTTGCTGAGACCTGACCTGGCAGGCTTGGGCTCTGAGTGTCCTGCGGTAAGCACTGACTGCTAAGTCAAAATGTTGCTTGCTTGCTTTGTTGTGGGCAGACTAGCAGCAAGGTGGAGGTTACAGAGGAGCAGATTCTGTCTCCTTCAACTCACCCTCCCTCTGGGCCCCTAAGGCACACTGAGGCCAAACTTTCTCCTTTCCATCCCACTAAACTTGTCTTCTACTTCTCAGGGTTTCCCCTCTTGTGGTTTCTCCTTGGAGCCTCTTAAGTGTGAAAACAATGCAAATTCTTGCTCTGGTTAATAGGATCTCAAGGTGCAAATTATACAAGCCAGGCAATGGCAGGTGTGAGGTCACAGCATCTCTCCAAATTCAGCTCAATGCAAATTCATAGATACATCACAACTTTTTTTTTTTTTGTCAGTCATGGGACCAGAACTCTGGGCCTGGGTGCTGTCCCTCAGTTCTTCAGCTCAAGGCTAGCGCTCTACCACTTGAGTTACAGCTTTTTCTGCTTATATGGTACTGAGGAATCGAACGTAGGGCCTCATGCATGCAAGGCAAGCACTCTACCACTGAGCCACATCACAATATTTTTTAATCAACATTTCCAACTTGTTTTCTTG